GCTGTTTACCATTCAGGCCTAATAACCATGCAGGGCATTCATTTAACACTGTCATTAAATGTGTTATATTAACTTGAAATTTTATTTGATTAAATTAAGAAACTCTATGCTTTTTGTGCTCACATGTCAGTTTGTTGTCGTGAAGTCAGTAACTTTGCAAATTGCTCAACAAAACAACAAAGAAATAGAGGAAAGATAGATGGATCTTCTGAAGGGAACCTCCCCCCAGCCCTCACCACAAAGGATGTGCCCACCACCAAGAGGCCCTGGGACCCCGGTGGGCGTCCAGCATCCTGGACCCCAGCAGACTCAGACACGGAACCCACGCTTTGGAAATGCTTTTGAACAAAGCTGGCCTCCTGCCAAGGCCCGAGTGACTTCAGAGGGTGAGCCCTGACTCAGGGCTGGACACCCGAGCCCCGGGAATAGGAACATGAAGGCCCTACGCACACCCCTCGCATCACTGAACCAGCCCAGGGGGCAGGAGACCGGGGTTCTGATCCCAGAGCCGGCTCATTTCCTCCACGCGACCTTGGGCAAGTGCTCCGACCTCCTGCGACCCGGGGACTGGTGTTCCCTCCGGCCTCGTTGCGATGATGAACGGGAGGGCAAAGCGGTGGAAGCCACGAAGCCTAAGCACATGTCAGGGCTGATTTACCGTCGTAATTGCTGTCTGGGGCTGCGGCGGGAGGGGGCCGGCGCCCCGCAAAGGAGGACGGTCTTGGTTTCGAGGAGAAAAGGCTGCTGGGTTTGGAAAGGGTCAGAGGCCATCAGGAAGATGAAGAACGGAAAGCCTGGTCAACACCACCTCCCGACGGAGCAGCCCATCCGCGACCGGCCCCAGCTGAGCAGGAGCCGCGGCGCCAGCAGCCTGCCCGCCGGGGGCCCCGCGGCGGCCGTGGGAACAGGCCCAGGGGGAGACTCGGGAGACCCCGGCCCCTGGCGCCCCGCGTCCTGCCCCCGAAGGAAGGAGGCGGCCCGTTATGTTTGCTTATTAACCACCCCTTGTGGCCACCGTCTCTGAAACCACTCGTGTGGCCTGATGCACGCAACAGACTTCGGGGTCTTCTTCGAAGAGAACTTCCCCATCAATCCCAGCGCACTGCCCCCCACCCCAGACCTCCGAGGACAGCACACGTCTTTGCCGGAACATTTCATTTCAAAGCTCTGAACAGTGGTTTCTTTTGGGTTTATGCTGTTGAAACTAGGTTGTGAACACTCAGACATTATGTCACCCACGGGGCCTGTGCTCAAACTGTTAAGGCTGCAAATCTGTAGGAAATACAGCTAAGGCTTTGGATACCAAACTCAGAAGCCCATGGACCACATTGGGGGAATACCGGCTTCCAGGGGAGTTCAAAACCTGCAGGGTTGGAAAGTTTGCCTGATCCAACCACCTGTTTTTCCAGTGTTAAATCCTTGCTACAATATCCCCACCAAGTATTCACCCAAACTGGGTTACAACGGTCCCAGTGGCAGGGAATGCTGGGTCTCTAAGCAGTTCTTTCTTCTATGGAATATTCTGCCCCATAGAAATATGTCCTTTCTATGACCTTGTGCATCTTCTGCAGATATTTTAAAACAGTGTTAAGACTTGAAGGAGTCGCCTTGAGTTGAGGCCACGCCTCTCCATTTCTGCCAGCCACGTCTTACGTGGAATTTGTCCTCTTTGTAAGTCTTTTCACTGTCGTCCCCTTTACTCTAATTTAGCCTTCTCAGTCCACAGAGCCCCACACTGAATGCCCAGTGTGTGAGTCTGATTGGTGCAGGTGGGAGCTGGATGACTGCTCTCCTGACCCGGACGCCACGTATCTAGTCATGCAGCCCAGAAGCACATTCACTTTTCTTGGCAGCCACACTACAGTGGATGAATGCCGAGCCCGTTTGTCAGCTGAAACCTCTAAACCTTATGGCTGTGTGCTTGTTTTTGTTTTAAAGATGGTACCACTGAATCCTCTCCCTCCCACCTTGTGTTTCTGCCACTGGCGTTTTGGATTTTGGCAAGGTCTCAAATGTAATTCTGTTAGATTTTATGTTTGTTTAGATTCAGTCCATCTTTTTAGATTGTCACTATCTTAATGGGTCCCAACTGGTTGCTCAATGACCTTCCAAGCTGTGTTGATACTTTGAATGTTCAATCATAATGTAAGCCAAATAATCCACAATGTTGGTTTTGATTATTTATCTGAGAGTTACTTAGAGGAACATTTTTAAAAATATACAAACTACTGGTTTCTAGTTTTATTGTATTATTGTAAGAGAATATATTGGTAAGGAATTTACTTTTTGGAATCTATTAGCCTTTCCTTTGTAGCCCCATATGATCAGTTTTTACATAAGTTCTATGAGTAGAATGTCTCATAGAACCACTCCACAGCTTGCTGGTTGATGTTTCAAATACTTTGTATATTTAATCTGCTTTTTGCTAGATGAATGTCAAATTTGAGATAAGTTTGCTAAAATTCTTCTAAAGTTTTGTCTTTATCAATTTTCCTTTTGCTTTTCCAAGTTTCTGCTTTATGTATTTTGTTGCTATGTTGTTTGGTACATAAGGGTTTGTATCTGTTATATCTTCTTTATGGATGGAACTTTTTTTTATTACTACAAAATATTTTCCCTCATCTCCCTTTATTCATGCCATTAGTAAAAATGTTGAACAAAACAAGGAGAACAATCTATAACAAAGCTCTCTGAGCTACTAATTAATAACATGTGGGCATAAATATGCAATCTGTCTTCTACTAGCCATTCTCAAAACACTCTGCTCCTCCAGGGATGTGTTTAATTATTTCATTCTATGCCATCTGTGCCCAGTTATTTTGAGCAACAGAGGAAGGAGGAGAAAAAGAAGAGAGAGAAAAGAGAGGGAGGGAAACAAACATGAGTTCTCAGGGGGACAGAGGACAGACGTATGAGGAGCCAGGGAGAGTAGGTAATAGTCATGATCACGACTATTTACCCTCTCCTTTCTGTCTCCCTGTGATGGCTGGATAGCCCCTCTTGCAGAGTCCAGGGTGGTCTACGCCATAATCCCCTGCTGACAGCTACAGCTGGCTTAGAGTTCATGAGACTCAGAGTGAGAAAGTCTCTGTTCAAATCCTGGTTCTGACACTTATAAGCTTTCTGGCCTTGGACAAGCCATCTTATGTCAGCGAGCCTGAGGTTTTCTGCATCTGGAAAATCAGGTGGTAACAGCTATGTCAGAAAGAAGTCA